ATACCTCGGAGGGCCAAGCAGAGCACAAGTCAGTGGGACTGTTTCAGTACATTTTGCTGCTCATAGGCTATGAGAATAGTGAGTTTCTCACTAGGGAAATAATATTTTTGTTTACAAACTAATATTTTCCTGCATCCCTAGGGAGACTCCTGAGTATACAGAATCCCCTATCTTGTCTGTGTATGGTCCTATGTTAGTACTACACCAACCAGCACAGCACCATCAAATTCACTGTTAGGTGAAGCAATTCAAGAGAACTTAAATTCTGTAAAATTGATGGGGAGGAAAAGGAATCACTGTGTATGAAATTTGTTAGCCCATCAGTTCAGAATCTAGACCCATGAACAACCCAAAAACTCCTAAAGCAAAATCTTTCAGAAACTTTATACCGAAGTGCCACAGAAAAGTAATTTTCAGCTCTGTGGTACCAGTATTTCTGAAAAGCACACATCTGACAAATGCCAATTCTTGCAGGATGTCTATTACTTGTGTAATTCATGTGACTGCATTTAGGCAATTCTCAGGCTGTAAAACATGGAGATTGTGTCCTGTGATTGTTCCATAGCACAAAAACAGAAAGAATGAAAATAAGCCAGGTCTAAGCTACATCAGGCAGAGAAATGAGATATCTCTCTGGGGCTTAAGCCATTCATAACTCTCACTATACTTGGTTGAACTCATTAATGGGGTGTGCATGCACACACTTGTGCATGCACTGGATTCCCTCATATAAGACGAAAACTTCTATATTTTTCTTTATCAGCAAAATATAGTATGTATGGGGGGGGGGGAGGCTTGCCCTGACGAACAACACTGAGCAACTGTTTAGGAGCAAAGTCGCTGGCCAATGGCGATGTGCCAGATCAAGTCATCAGCTGCCATGGTAACGGCTGCCTCAGAAACCATGTCTTTTAGGGGGCTTGGCACAGGCCTATCCCTCTCTTGTCCTTTTATATCACATACAAAACAGAGGAAACCATCTCCTTTGGTGCTTCCTTTCAGACCCTTTCCTAGGGTCTTACATCTGACAAGCAGGTCCTGGACTAAGCTGGGAAATGGCTGCTCATACCTCCACTCCCCACCCCACCCCGCCTTGTGCTTGAGACTGGAAACCCTAACGATCCAGGGCAAAAATGACACTCCACAGAATGCAACCTAGCATTCCTTAAAATATGGGGGAGGAAAGGAGAAGTAAACTTTACAATCTGACACCCACACTTTCTTCATGTGGTTGTGCCCCCTTTCCCAGTGTGAGAATGCCACCCACTGGCTGAGAATGTTGGAAGTCCTTCAATGTTATTGAAGTACAGAGGGCCTGATGAAGAAAACATGACCTTCCACACTTCTTTATGGTATAGTTTCAGGATGTCTGCAGAGCCTTTAAGTATACATGAGCAGTCTTGCTATGTTAGAGCAAGGGTTCATCTACCTTAATTCTGACAATGGCCAATCAAGGTTATGTCTTGCTCTTCTTGCTAGTAGCTCTTGATATTTTTACCTTCCACGATTGTACTGCATCATGATTTTAAAAATCTCTCAATATACGCCATATGTTCATCGTTTTTAAATGAAGGGATACAAAAGGAAGTACGGAAATCATAACTGACCTGTGATGGCCTTGCAATCTTATACTTTATCCCTGATTTCACAGATACAAAGTCCTCATGGCTGCCACAAGGACTTTGGGTCATGCCTATGCCAGGAGTTCTGTGCCTCCCATGCACACTGGAGCTGTATTCTGATTGCAACTGCAGCATGCATAGAATTGGGGTTTCATCCCCCCCCACACACACCATTTCCACAAACTGAAATGGCCCTGGGGAGCAGCTATTTCCTCCGTTTGGAAACTTAAGTACAGCTGTCATTACACAGAATTTTCCTAAGAAAGAAAATAGCAACTCCCCAGAGCCACTAACGTTTGTGCGAATAGCACTGGGGAAGAAGGCTAAGGCCCTTTCTCCCATCCGGGAGGCATGGATTTCCGGCACCTGGGGTGGCCATGAGGACTCTGTATTGTGTGAATTGGCCCTTATGCTGGAGAACCCATCCTATGTGTAAATAAGAAAACATTATCAGCATGTTATTGTGATGGAAATGTTAGTGATGATTTCTAAGATTTTGATTATAATTATATAAGAATCAGAAGATATTCTTCCCTCTAAATTCTCGTGTGTGTGTGTGTGTGCATTAGTAGTAAGTAGTCCTGTAAAGGGAAGGGGGTGGATAACACAAGGAAACAGAAATATTCATCAGCTATCTCTGCGTTGTGGCCCCCCGTCCCAGCCAATGCTAAAAAAGAAATAACAACTGACAAAAACCCAAAACCTTCATCTAAAGTAATCCATTTGGTTCTATCTTTAAGGAAGCAGCTCTCCTACTCTGAGCTATCACCTCTGTTCATACACCTGCCTTCAGTAATAACAACTTTTATTATTAGAACTGCTTTTTCTGACTCAAAAGCACCGCCAGAAACTCTTTTTGCCTCCATCCAGTATGTGCTAATGAGCGTCTACAGATGCCCACCCCCTTCTGATTTTGACAATGTTTTGTTAGCAGCTGCCACTGCATAGAAGAAAACATGTTATCCAAGTCATTGCTGCATTTGCATTTAGAGAAGCCATATTTAAAATACATAATTATAAATTAGTTTTATGGAAAGCTGGATAGTTAAAAGATTTTAGCACGAGCTTTCAAAGAGGCAGGTTGACAGAGGAAGTTTGATATTTCCTCATTTTACTTGTACATTTCATATTTAATCTGTAGGTCATTAGCTTTTTTAAAAGGCAATGTTTTCCCTCTTTCCTGGCTCCTGCAAAGAGTAGCAGGAAAGAGATGTTATTGAATATTATTTAACTACAGAACCCGAGGCAAGATATTTATATTCATATTCCTGTGAAAGTAATAGATATTCAATGAAGCAAGGACGAATGCCAGTTCTCAGTCGCACGAGTCTCACCACAGTCATTTTTGTGAATCAGTCCATATCCATGTACACCCATTTGCACATATCATGGCAAAAAAAAAATGACTGCCACCCCCAGAGCAAGAGGACCATTTAGGATGTCCTTTCTGCCCAGCGCTGATGGAACAAGAAAACATGCCAATGCATGGTACTCAACTACACTGATTCACTCATTCCTCCTCAAAGCTCTTTTGGCCAAGACACTGTGGCACTGGAGATGCCTTCTAGATTTATGTACTAACATTGTCATGTCCATGCCATCTTCTCACATGTCCTGTTCACTGGTCAGCAGAAACCCATCAGTGCTCCACAATTGTATATCTGTGGCCTAGCCTAGTTGTCCAGTGTCAAATCTCTTCATAAGCAAGAAGCTCAGCTGGTCAGAACCAGAATGGCAGCTGAAAAGCAGCTACTATGATCCACCAATCGAGATGTTCACAGTCAAACTGCTTTTGCCAGAATTGGTTTCTACCTCTGGCAGAGCCATAAGGGAACTGATTGGAGATTGGTGCCATAAGCTTTGAGCTTTCCAGTCCCCTCCCCCATCTTAAATTTCACGCATTTTCAAATTTATACCCACAACTAAGCATGGTCTTTTTTAGGGGGAAGGGTCCCTAGCTATGGGACCCTTCTCCATAAAAAGACCATCCCAACTCAGTAGAAAGTGTGCAGGTTTTCCCACTATCTGAACATCCCTGCAACTGTGTTGCAGGTCCCCCTTTCCCCCCCTCACTCTGCTCTTCGACTTGAACCTCAGCTGCATTTGCTCCTGGACCTCTCCAGACCTCAAGCCCAGGATTTCAGTCGTATGTCCCTTCCCTAAAACTTCCCCAATTTCTTCCCTCCTACCTTTTATAAGTGTCCCCCTCTTGTTGATGTGTGTGCACGTGTGGTTATTTATGGAATTAGTTCTCAGGCGTCCAGTGTAGGTTCTTTACATTTTTATTTGTTTTGTTTTGTTTTGTATACAATAAATTGTCTGTGTTTACAATCACTCTCTTACTCTCTTCCTAATTATATTTTGGGGTATCCTCACCAAGATCCACCCTGGTACACACAGACCTACAAGGTCCTGCATTATTCCTTTCTCGAACTCTTTTTTAAAGCTAATTTCCCCTCCTCTGTGTCCAGTTTGTGTAACAATGGCTCCAGTTGTCTTCAATATGCTACCAATTCTTTCTTCTTAAAGCCCTAATAGTTTTTCTTACCTAGTTCAACTGAGATCTCTTCCTTTGAACAAGGATGGTAGGGACTCTTACCAAAGGACTTATCTTTCAGAGTCTTGTAGAGCATGTTGTCGAAGTAGAGTAACTGCATTTCCTCCCTGAATCCTAGTTTTTCCAAGGGCACTTTTAGAGGAAAGCGTCATTGACTGACAATATGGAAACTAAATCAGCAGGATTCAGTGCACTTGACACCTGAGGGACTGTCCTCGTATGCGTGTTTAGCTCAAACTGATTAATCAGATTGATATAGGTGTCAAGGCTATTCTGGCATGAACCCAGTGACAGAAGTGCCTATCTCCAGTGGTAAAATGGTCAAATCTTTCCGTTGATGGGGGACACGGACATCTGAAGTGGCTCATCAGTGATTAATTTTGAAATCGAACAGTACTCACACCTGCCAGTTGATGTAAGGACTGGGTTAATCCATGAGCATGCCTAAATCCAGGTGAAATTTATAAGATCTCAAGAGACCACCATAATTGTCACGAGCAGGCAGTATCAACATCAGTTTGTCCTGCATCCTAACAAATCGGTATTATCCTGACCTCTAGCTGTAACAGCACTAGTCAAAAATGAATAGGTTCTCATCAAACAAGCTCAGGGCAAAGAATTTACGCCACAAATTCACACTGTGCTAGCATATGTTCTGATAATCACACCAGTCGAACACTTGCCACATCACATATTCAACTTTTCTCTTGTGGCATTCCCATTTGACGTCTGCATTACATATCTTGCATCTTTCTTCAAAAGAACAGAAAAGTAAAACAACAGAGCAACAGGCAATGGGCAAGACACCTCTAGGTACTTACAGCCGTGACAAGGCTTGGTTATTCTGGAACAGCAGCTCTGGCAAAGTATGCAGCTGGTTCCGATTCAGGCGCCTACAGAAAAGGAGGGAAGAAGACATTATAAAAGCACTCATGAAAATGCTGGGGTTGGTACAATTCCATTCATTCTCAACCTCCTGCAGGATATGTCCTAAGAAAACTTTAAAAGATGTTAATGAAGAACAGCTCTACTCCTACTCAGCTAAGGGATATTAATCTTCTCATATCCCATTGCCTTGGTCCATAGCTGCTAATCGCTCAGTGCAACCAAAGTACAGGGACAAGTATAGAAAAATGTGAAAATTAGGCCAGGGTTAACATCATGATCCCCTGAATCCTACACAATAGCTGCAGTGAAGTAAACCATTTTAACTGATGAGAAGGAGCAGCTAACTTAGAAGGCATGGGCTGTAATTAATTTGGTGCTGTTCTGAGGAAATTTAAGTTTCACTTAGGGTTGCCAGCTCTGGGTCGGGAAATGCCTGGAGACTTTGG